GCTGCTGCGTCCGTTGCGTAACGGCGTGTTTCGTCGGTTTTTCTTTTTCTTTTTTTTTTTTTTTTTTTTTTTCGCACGATCAGGCCAAAGAGTTTTATCAGCGGCCGCGTGAATAGGTAATGAACGGCACTCCGAGCGCTTTGAAATTCGGCAATTTCAGGGCGAGAATTTACATTTTTTCTTTTTTTTTTTTTTTTTTTTCACGGGGATGAAGCCACGGGCGTAGTTTTTGAGCGTGTAACGATACAGAGGATTAATACATTGGATATCTCGCGGGTTATTGACTCGCCAGTGATCGCCACGTTGGCCATTGACGATTAATTACGTCACGATTAATTTCTATGAATTCTTTACATCGTATTTGCCATCCAAGTTAATTTCTTTTTTTTACGATCGTACAGCTTGCTAAATGCACTGTATACAGTGACAAGGGCAAAATTGAACGCACGCGTGGAATTTTGTCGCGTGTTTGCACGTAAAATACAGAGAAAGCAAAATATGTAGTTCCGTAGAATGTTTCAGCTCTTTCAAAAAAAGTTTACAATTCTGTCACCATTCCTAAACTTTTTTTTTTTCGTGGAATCAATTTTGCACCACGATTAATTTAAATGAAAAATTACCGACATTTTAAACTATAAAAGGAGATCGTACAACAATCTACGTAGTCTCGTTTTCTGTTTTCACTATTTTAAATTCATCCTTTTTCCACGTAACAAATGGAAAAGTGTTCTCTTGTTTAGAAAAATGTTGTAAATATTCGCACGTATGTAAATTTCATTTGCGACTAAATCCATCTCGAAGACTGAAATTTCTCGACTGTACGATCTTTTTCCACTATTCTATTGAACCTCGAACATTAGGCACAAACGACAAGAATCAAGAAATCCTCAATGTTCAGAGTTCAATAAAATCGTACAACGAGTTTCAAGAGATCGTTGTAAAGAGAAAATTTCAGTCTTCAAGATCACGATGAATCAAGTTGCGAAAAGAATTGTTTTCCACAGATGTTTGGATTTCGACGATTTTCGAAAATGAAAGCACTCTTACTTCCTCGCTATATATTTTAGCTACGCTGCTTACTCTAACGCAGTGATTTAAACAACTTTATTCTTTCACCTGTGTAACATAATCGCAACCGTATGAAGTCGACTCGTTTAATCGCGCAGTACGTCGCTTCAATCGTCGTTCATCGCGTAAAATATGAAACGTGCACAGATTGAAACTGGACAGTTTGAAGTGAAATGGTCGAATTCGAACAGTTGTAATGGTATCGGTATTTAATTCGATAAAGTAGATGCGAATGTAGATGTTGATCGACTGACTAATTGACACCCAAACCATGCGAGCTATCCCCGAATCATTCACCGATCGTCTCCCGGTTCCCTCTTCCCGTGAACCCGAGCGTTCTGAATCTCTCTCCGACGAACGCGCGGTGCCCCGTCGCGAATTAAAACGCACGGTTGCCGCGCGTTTACCACCGGAAACTTCAACGACGAAGCAGCGAGCAGCACGGTCGGCAATGAGCACGGGAAGAAAAGAGTTTAAAAAGAGGAGAAAGAGAGAAAGATGAAAGAAACACGCATAATAATAATATATATATATATATATAAAAAAAAAGAAAATTGGATAGAAACGAGAAACAGAAAAGAGAAGGAGAGAGGGAGGCGAACGATAAAAAAGAGAAGAGAGAAAACTATATACCTATATACGTTGCGAGATAAACGGGAAACGAGAGCCAGAGAGTTAGCAGAGTTAACTGATCGGTACAAATGATTTCGTCTGCAGCAGGGTTGCGGGCAGTGCAGACATGGGAAGTGACCATTACTGCCTGAGGTGGAATAATCATCAGAGCAACTTGCTGGGTGTGTTCAGTCAACTGCTGGAGTCGGAGTCACTGGTGGACGTGACACTGGCGTGCACGGAGGGACCTTCGATACGTGCCCACAAGGTAGTCCTCTCCGCGTGCTCCAGCTACTTCCAGGCCCTGTTCCTTGACCACCCGAATCGCCACCCCATAGTCATCCTAAAGGACGTACGTTTCGCCGAGCTACGTACCCTCGTCGACTTCATGTACAAGGGCGAGGTAAACGTCGAGTACTGCCAGCTATCGGCCCTCCTCAAGACAGCGGAGAGCCTCAAGGTGAAGGGTTTAGCGGATATGACGAACATCAACGCGGCGGTAGCGTCGAGGGATGAGCAACAACAACAGCAGCAGCAGCAGCAACAACAACAACAGCAGCAGCAGCAGCAGCAGCAACAACAGCAGCAGCAACCGCAACAGCAGCAGCAGCAACAGCAACAGCAACAGCAACAACAACACACGAGCACATCCGAGGGTATACAGCGCGAGACGTCGCGAGAACATCACCGTGAACGCGAGAGTATAAAGGAGGCGAGCAACAAGGAGAGAGACAGGGAAGGAAACACGTCCGGCGGTGGCACGGGTTTGCCATCGGCAGGGGTGAAAGAATGCGAGCAACCGCAACAACGCGAGAACCTGGCCCAACCACCCAGCGAGTCGACCGAGGCGGTAGACATGACCGACTGTCCGGCATCGCCCACCGGGCCCGGTAGCCCTTGTCCGGGACCATTGGCCCTTGATCGACCGAGGAGGGACTCCGAGGACGCCGCCAGTTTAGAAGAAACGAGGGGTTCCCTTAGCCCGATCTCGGTGCACAGTGGACCGTCGGACATGAGTCTGAGTAACAATACCGGCAGCACGCCCGGTGTTCTGCCACTGAATTTACCGCAGAGTCGGCTTCCGTCCCCGCACAGTACAGAGCCTCTCGCGGGCCCTTCGGGGTTACCCCCGGTTCAACAAGTTCCACTTGTGAGTACAACTCTTGCAACTCTCTCCTTTACAGTTTTTCCCCTTAAAATTACATGCAGATGTAGCAGTAGACGTAGCATTGTAGATTGTAAGATTTACGCGATTTACGCGATTTAATTGACAGATGAAGCTTTTTTTCTCGAGTCTTCGTTGGAACGTTCCAATGCTCCAACAGTACGATCGTATCGTAAACTGAGATATGGTCGCGTGTTTGACTTGGCGAAAATTTAGCGAAAACGATGACGAGTAATTTTACAGATTTAACTTTCGTCGCTACGTTATATTGATGATATACGGGCGTTTTTCTTTTCAACTAGTTAGTTAGATCCGTAACTTCTTCTTCTAGTACGACGAATGCTAGTGATCGAGAATGGTTTTTTGCTTTTTCGAAGTGCCTTTTGTTTCGTTTCGAATGTTAGTGTCACACACGTGATTTACAAACTTTCAGAAGAAGATCATCCTTACTTTGTTTGTTAATTATTATTCTCATCGATCCGGGATTGTTCGAGAACCTTACGCTCAAGTAAATGCTAATGGCTCGGCGTGCGGTCGGTCCGCGCGAGCAAGTTCATACTTCTTTCCCCCCCTCAATAGCATCGACAGCTATCCAATTATTACTTTGTGACGTGAACCCGATGTTCGTTTGCAGTCGTTAAAAAAAGAGATGGACTGGGAAAGGTCGACGGAAGAGCGCAGTGCGAGCAGCGAAATATCCACGGATTACAGACTCCCACCGGATCCGGTGAGTTTTCCCCCGCCTTTTTCTTTTTTTTTTCTCTCTCCGTACTATATATTCCAATTTATTGACTACTTTTTATTCTCGTACTTTCTCTTTACTCTGCATTTATATATCGATTACGGTTATCGCCGGTTGTGCGTGCAGCCGGTCCCGCTCGATCGACTCATCTGCAATCGCATACACACGACCAATGGCATTGCCATTGGATTGTGGATGAGCTGATGCGAGTCTTCGGAAAAAAAAAAAAAAGAAAGTAGCCTAAAAATGAAAAAGATAGAAAGAAGTAGAAACGTCCGCAATTTGTTGGATCTCGATGCATCTCGTGTCGTACCGAGGGTTACGACGAATCGTTCGTTTACGTGCTGCTCGTCGACGACCACCGATGTTGACAAGAGTCCGTGAGATGGCCCCGGGCAACGGGATGCCGAGTTTTCGCCTAGTTCGATTAGCTCCGGCAACGTTTCAACACGATCCATTTTATCTATCTATCTATTTATATCTATCTATTTTTTTTTCTTTTTTTTTTTGTTTGCCTATCTATCCGACGCCGATAGATAGACAGGCAC